GTTATGCAAAAGCAGAAAAATAATTTTACACAGCTTTCCCTTAGTGGCACAGTCAAATATGGTAAACCAAGAAAAGGGAAGCTGCGTCATTACGGGTTGCAGAGTAGAGATCTGTGTAAATTGTTTGATTGACATGCAGGAGGGAACTAGGGTTAGGAATCAGGTTTTTTTTCTTGCTTTATTGATAAATTTTGGGATCTGATGAGAAATTCACCAAATATTATATAAACGCTCCAAAAAAGCAAAAAGCAGCAGATTTAAAAAAAAAAAAAAATTAATGAGTAAATAAACAACAAATATACGGTGCTCATTGACCAGTGAGTTGTGGATGTTGTTGTTTTTTTTTTTGGTTTTAGTTTCAGTAACTCTTTTTGAGGTTACAAAGGAGAAATCAAGGCTTTTAGGGAGTCACCGGGCTGACATGTTGCCCCAGCTTAGCAGCCCTTTTTAGCTCCGCTCGTCACGCTGCAGTCGCACATCTGCACCTATATATCAAAGCTGTGCACAAAAACATTCCTGAGAGCAAAGCGGAGGTGATTTGTGTGCCTTTCTCCTTCTTTTTTTATTAAAATTCATCTGTGATCTAACTGTTCACTCGGCTAAAAGCTATACCTTTTAAATCAGTCATCCGTCCAGAACTTAGACCTGCACCACATTAAGACCAGCACTGACATCACAACTGTTTCCCCTCTCCCCGCTGCGCCTCATGCCTCTTTCATATATTTTCTCTTGTCCTCAACAGATGGACAATCTTGCAGCCAGAGATTTTTTAAAGTGTTTAATAAATGTAATACAACCTATCTAGTGTTGAAGAAAGGGGCCTAAACCAGAACCATGTGCATGGAGTGGATGGCGGCCGTTAGGGGCCACAGCTAATATGGTTCAACATGTGGACCTGGCCATGCAGGCAGGTTCACTTGCATGTCGGACAGTTTATGACCTTCAGCGTTATTCCCTCAGAAATTAGACCGGGTCCTTATGTTACTATGCTCTAATTTATAGCGTGATGTTCCATTTTTATATGCACCAATGTATTCTCTACAAGAGGGGAGTAATAAAAGGATACAAGTGATGTTGGAATGCAGCGTCTTTCATGTTTTATCTCACAAAGGAACAGTACAGTGGTATTATGTGCCTATAGAGGGTAATATATGAAAGTGTTTGACTTATTGTCAAATTAAGGAAGAGTGTCATGACCCTGATGGTGTATATGCATGCCTCTGGTCGCTCTTTGCTTCAGCTCTGCCTACACTGCTAACCACAACAGATAATAAAATATTCTTGAAAAGGAATGTGAGAGGTGGTGGGACTGGATATATCACAAACACTGGGAAGTCATACAGGAGCTGTGCAGGGTGAATATGTCAAACAGTGTAAGTATTGTTAGACCGAGAAGTGTTATCATATCTCATCTTCACAACAACAAAACTGAATGAATATGTTACAGTCTTTGGAGTTTTGCTTATCTTCAAAATGTGTTCCTGCTGGCCACCTTATACTCGAGAGCAAGAGCCAGTCAAATCCCAGAAAAGCTGTCTGCTGATTTTATTTTGACTCATTTTTGGGCCAACAATCATTGTGCAGCCAAACTTTATGCAAACCCACAAAACCTTTTTTTTTTTTTTTTTTCCAATTCTAGCATGAGTGGGTCATGTAGATAAAATCATCTGTCCTTTGTAATTTTATATCAACATCTCTATATCAAGAAACTGTTTATGGATAAAACAATGTCTGTTTTCATGAAATAAGTGAATTTGATATTTGAAAAAATCTTAAAGTACAACAGTCCTGCTTACTGATTCATAATATTGTCCACAGTGGCCTATGCCCAGTGGGAAAGGCATAGCTAATGGTGTTAATGGTGACAAATTTTTGACAAATTTGGATCATCAAATTTTAGATTATCATCATGCCCACCTTCCATTCTCCTTTCCAAAAATACAAAATATGTCAGGCTGAGCTGGGTGGAAAATGTGTACGAAATGAGGTGCAAGACATCTAGAAGATTTACATTTAGTTAAGTGGAGCAGACATAAAAAAACATGACACCTGTATTTAAATATTTCTGTCTATGTGAACATCAAATAGCTTAAATGACGAGGTGGAAAAGCTAGTAATATATATCTATACATATGTGCATGTATATGTACACACACACACAGTGCCAGACAGGATTTTCCAACCTTACAGCTATTTTGGGGAACGTAAAATGACAAAACTACTTTTAATGCCATTGTATGTTGATGATGATGATGAGATACAAACCTGAAGACACAAATTTCAAAACATGCTGTGTTTATAAATGCATATTAATATTAAAATGTTATCAATTATTTCTTTGGTTAAATATTGGTTTAGGGCTGGCATGATATCAGATTTTCACTACACAATTATCGTGGTCAAAAGGATTCAAGATAACATTATTGGCGCAACATCTATAGAAATTAAAAAAATAAATTAATAAAAAAAGCTCAGTTAAATTTATTTTTACTTTGTGTATTGCCCTTTTTTCCCTAATTTTTGGGAAAATGATTTACACTCAAAATGCAAATGTAGGGAAGTGGAGAAAGACAAAGCGAGAACATACAGAAATGGAAATGATTTCAGAGGTGCTGGATTATTTATGCGATATCATCATATGTGTTTTTAACATCATATCAATGATTTGTTTTTTTACATATCACGGTTATTGTCAAAACCCGTATATCGTGACACCCCTATACTGGTCAAAATATAAGAATTTGCATGGTGAAAGAAAGTTTTTACTTATTCATTTTAGTGAGCTAAAAAACAGTTTTCAAACAGTAACTGAATCTTTCTCTCTTTTAGCCAGTGGTGTGGTGAAGGATATACGCAGGTAGCTATACGGGGTACACCCACCTCTTTTTCTGGACCTTTACAGTGTACCCACCTATTAGCCAAAAACCAAATGGAATATATTGGAGAGTATGCCCACTTCTTCCCTTGTAACCTAGCAATCTACCATGTCATACACCCACCTGAAAAAGCACCACCACATCACTGCCTATAACCTACATTTTTACCACATCCACATCTTTTATACAGTGATAAAATGACATTTGTATTATAATTATTCACCTAATGTTTATACCAACAGTTAATGCAAAACATGAGGGTGAGATCCTCAAATGTATTAAATGCTATCTGGCTCACATTTTTGTACAGCCTAATATTTCACTATGCCTTAGCATTTCATTCAGAGATGTACTCTAGATAAGTGCAATAATCTGAGTTTGATGGATGGCCCAGCCGGAGCCTCAGGCCAGTGGTGTGTACATACTGCACTGGTTGCGGCAGAATGATAAAACCAACACAGGCAGGTGTGTTTGGTTAAGATGCACTTGTCAAGTGGGGTGACAAGCATGTCTGTGTTCATTCAAGTGAACCCCTTATCTGCACCTCCATGTCCCACTCATGAGACAAAAGCACTTCCCATGTTTGTATGATTTACCTCTCTCAAGTAAAGTGCACCCCCAACACATTTATGCGCAAGCACACATGCACATAATACCATATGTTACAGAGAAGTACGTTAGCTAAATTGATTCTTATATAGTGTGGAGATAGATTTGTGTCATATTATTTGTGCGAACAGATCAACAAACTGTTTTACTGTGCGTTCCACTACCCATACTACCATCGTATTTAGTATGCCAGAAAAAGGTTTAGTATGTCCCATTACATAGTATGTGAAATGCAGTATGCCAAATGGAGACCTATGCCTTTTCTGGCTATTCTGACCAACAGACATGTCACATCGACTGAGCTTTAAACAGACGTTGGCTTGACAGTTTATTGACAGCTCATTGACAGCTGTAAGAAGCTGTAGTGACAGAACATGTAACTGATGACCAGTCGAATAGTAATAATAGGAATATTATTGTTTAAGGGAGCAAAATAATCATAAAGATTACCAACAACAAAAGGACATAACTATGAAACTAATAATGACAGAGAAAAGTTATTTAACTGTGGTGAACATAATATGTTACAATCTCCAATGTATGTAGTTAAAACTTCAAAGATAAAACTACATGGATTGCAAAGTAACAGCAGCAGAGCTCTCTGGATTGACCCCCATCTTGAGCACGCTCAGTTAACAGCATTTTGTTTTATCACCAAGGTAACGGATATATGAGCAAAAGGGTCAAAGTTTAGGGCGTAATGTTATGAGAAAGTAGCATGTCCCAGTTGTGTGCATACTGCATGGAATACTTTTTAAGGGCAGGTTCTGTGCCTAATAAAAGTTGGAAAAAAAGAATAAAAAAAAATTGGAAAACACCTTTAATTTGCAATCTGTAAATATAAAACATGTTCCACAAATACAAAAAGATCTGTGAAATCCAAAAAAGCTATTTTGCAGATACACATTACACATAAACACATAATATCTTCCTGACATTTACTTTCAAACAGATTTTTGTAAATCCAGTTTTTATTTGTGAATCTTAATCCTATGCCTGTGGATTTCGATTTTATACACAGAGTCTTTTTTAATTTTTTGAAATTGTTGGCATATTTGCAGATCTTTTTTATATTTGCAAATATATTTTTGAGAGTTTAATTTTTTTTTGTATTTGTGGATGCAGTTTTATATTTACAGATTACACATTTACACACATAAATAATATTGAGACAAATTGGTCTCCATATTCGTGTATGTATTTTGTACTTTTTTTTGCATATGTGGAATAGTTTTATATTTACAGATTACACATTAACACACGGATCATTAATCTGTTCATACAAATCATACTGAAACAAACCTATCTCCACAGTATTGCTTGTCATTAATGCTTACCTGTAACTTGTCCCACAACTCAGAACCGACAGGGGAGAGCATGTAATTGTTTTTCTTCCTTCACGTTTTTTTTTTTTTTTTTGTCTTTCTTTTCATTTTTACCCCAGTATATGCTAACCTTGTAGTGCACGAGCGTGCGTGCATGAGCGCGTGCGACCACCTTCTTTTTAATTAATTTATTTATTTATATTCGTGAACTTCCGCCAGGGTGAGGTGGACGTGACGTCAGACTAGGAAGTACAGCTCGCCGCTGGTGGACAGAAGTGAATAGCAATGGCTAGCAACAACAGCAGCAGCAGCTGCAGCAACAACTAACATTAGCTGGTATTTTCCTCAGGAAACATCGCATGAATGTATTTTTAAAGCCAGTCTCTGCTGAGCTGAAGAGCTGAATGTCCTTCTAGTGTCGGTGAAAATGACACCGAGGTAAGCAGCTGTGTGTATGTGTGTGTGTGATGCTCTGTGTGCTTGCTAGCTCAGTAACTAGCTGCTTAAAGCTAACGTTATCCTGCAGCCTGACAGAATGTAACAACAATGTTAAGCTTCAGTTTAACTCAATGTTGCTTTGTAGTGTTAATTTGTGTCTTTAAGTTTAAAGGTATGAGTAGACCTTAGTATTTAGTTGGATAACAGTTCTGCTCGTTATGACAAACCTGTGGAAAGATGCTCACTTAAAGGTAAATTTCACTCAAGTAGAATTCACGTTAGTTAGCTGTGTTGACTCTGTAATATACAGCTTTGTTTTCTTGTAATGCTTAATATGTGAATGAAACCCAGTCTCATTTGAAGTTTAACATCAGAAGTACAGGCTTTAGAAATGAGTCATCTGTGAAAAAGACTTTTGACAGCACTCATGGTCATTTTACTTGACTACATTTTCTTATTCTTAGTCTCCCTGTACAAACATATTCAGTTGAAAGTAGCACATAAAAATCACGCCATCATCTGAGTCAGTCACTAATTAAGTGACAATGGAGCAGCGCTAAAATGTGTCACTGGATGAGATCATCAGTTTCTTGATACTCTAGCCTAGGGAGACCTATTTATAGGTACTTTTCAAAGTCATAAAGCACAATCTAACTGTTTTAGTCTTATTTCCTGTCATCACTTTAAAATCACATGTTGGTGCAAGTGACTTCTATCAAAGCTGGCTGAAAATATTAGCTGGCTTCATACCAATGTTCCCTATACACCCACATGAGTCATGTTATGGTTCTGGGAAAGATACTGATGCTGTTCTGCTTCTTTCTGTGTCTTTTCAGATGACTCACCAGTGGCTTGGACATCTGTGATTTGACAGAAGATGAGGCTTGCTCAGTTTGTCAGACTTGTCATTGCTTATAATGATTGCTACTGTAGGCACATAAACCACACTGACATGGACAACAAACTATAGTGAATCATGTTTGTTGTTTCTTGCACATCACACTCACTAAAAAAACAAAATACATAAATTATCATTTAGTTTGTTTTGAATGGCTTTCAGTTGATAACCAGTGCTGACAATGTCACTGGGCGAGCAGTCTCAAAAGTGGTTTCCAACCCATGTCCAAGCCACTGTTCTTCAAGCAACCGGTTTACAGCCCAAGGGCAAAAATGGCACCAATGATGCCTACACCATCATCCAGCTGGGCAAAGAAAAGTACTCAACATCAGTGGCAGAGAAGACACTTAACCCTGTCTGGAGAGAGGAAGCCTCCTTTGAATTACCTGGGTTACTTTTGGAGGGCAACCCAGAAGTGTATGAACTCTGCCTTATAGTGATGCATCGGTCCTTGGTTGGGATGGACAAGTTCCTGGGTCAGAGGTCCATCAACCTGAATGAAATCTTTGATAACAAGGAGCGAAAGAAAACTGAGTAAGTATACTGTTGCAGTAAAGCCCAAGATCTCACCTCAAGCCACATTATTTCATCACAAGCCATATATTTAAATTGTTTTTACTATTTACTGTTTTACTGCTTTTACTGTTTACTGTTTCCGTAGGTTTCTAGCAGAATTATTTCAGGTAGTGAGCGTACCTGTGTTGTAGTCAAACACAGAGAACAAATCATGATCAAGACCAGAGTGTATAGAGACTGAGACAAGACCAAGACCGAGGCAGGGCGAGACCAAGTCAAGACAAGCCAGTGCGAGTCCTGCACTGCATTACACACTTACGATAAAATATAAAACATAGGAACCTTAGGCACTCCTCAAATTGGTCTGAAAGATCCACATTTCCATGAAAACTCCCACAGAAGATTCCTCTTCATTGACCTGTTGCTGTACTGTCTACATATATACACAAATATATATATATATATATATATATATACATACAGTACAGGCCAAAAGTTTGGACACACCTTCTCATTCAATGCGTTTTCTTTATTTTCATGACTATTTACATTGTAGATTCTCACTGAAGGCATCAAAACTATGAATGAACACATGTGGAGTTATGTACTTAACAAAAAAAGGTGAAATAACTGAAAACATGTTTTATATTCTAGTTTCTTCAAAATAGCCACCCTTTGCTCTGATTACTGCTTTGCACACTCTTGGCATTCTCTCCATGAGCTTCAAGAGGTAGTCACCTGAAATGGTTTTCCAACAGTCTTGAAGGAGTTCCCAGAGGTGTTTAGCACTTGTTGGCCCCTTTGCCTTCACTCTGCGGTCCAGCTCACCCCAAACCATCTCGATTGGGTTCAGGTCCGGTGACTGTGGAGGCCAGGTCATCTGCCGCAGCACTCCATCACTCTCCTTCTTGGTCAAATAGCCCTTACACAGCCTGGAGGTGTGTTTGGGGTCATTGTCCTGTTGAAAAATAAATGATCGTCCAACTAAACGCAAACCGGATGGGATGGCATGTCGCTGCAGGATGCTGTGGTAGCCATGCTGGTTCAGTGTGCCTTCAATTTTGAATAAATCCCCAACAGTGTCACCAGCAAAACACCCCCACACTATCACACCTCCTCCTCCATGCTTCACAGTGGGAACCAGGCATGTGGAATCCATCCGTTCACCTTTTCTGTGTCTCACAAAGACACGGCGGTTGGAACCAAAGATCTCAAATTTGGACTCATCAGACCAAAGCACAGATTTCCACTGGTCTAATGTCCGTTCCTTGTGTTTCTTGGCCCAAACAAATCTCTTCTGCTTGTTGCCTCTCCTTAGCAGTGGTTTCCTAGCAGCTATTTGACTCTGATCTGAGCTGCTCTTAACTTGCGATTTCTGAGGCTGGTGACTCGGATGAACTTATCCTCAGAAGCAGAGGTGACTCTTGGTCTTCCTTTCCTGGGTTGGTCCTCATGTGTGCCAGTTTCGTTGTAGCGCTTGATGGTTTTTGCGACTCCACTTGGGGACACATTTAAAGTTTTTGCAATTTTCCGGACTGACTGACCTTCATTTCTAAAAGTAATGATGGCCACTCGTTTTTCTTTAGTTAGCTGATTGGTTCTTGCCATAATATGAATTTTAACAGTTGTCCAATAGGGCTGTCGGCTGTGTATTAACCTGACTTCTGCACAACACAACTGATGGTCCCAACCCCATTGATAAAGCAAGAAATTCCACTAATTAACCCTGATAAGGCACACCTGTGAAGTGGAAACCATTTCAGGTGACTACCTCTTGAAGCTCATAGAGAGAATGCCAAGAGTGTGCAAAGCAGTAATCAGAGCAAAGGGTGGCTATTTTGAAGAAACTAGAATATAAAACATGTTTTCAGTTATTTCACCTTTTTTTGTTAAGTACATAACTCCACATGTGTTCATTCATAGTTTTGATGCCTTCAGTGAGAATCTACAATGTAAATAGTCATGAAAATAAAGAAAACGCATTGAATGAGAAGGTGTGTCCAAACTTTTGGCCTGTACTGTATATGCCAGAAAAAGATGTCCCAGTACATGGTATGTGAAATGCAAAATGCAAAATGAGAAGATGAATTAATGTCTGCTTCAAAATTCTGTCCATAATTTTTTGCTCTCCTTTATCCACACAACATGTTTTGGCTATATGCCGTATTTTGATTGTAAGGGCAACATAGAATTAATCAGTGAAAATGAAAAATAAAATTCGAGGCAGCCTGTTTGATCCCATTAATCATGCATCTGTTATCTATACAATAAATTCAAACCCATTAGTTGGTAACATTACACCCATTAAATGTAATATCCTAAATATCTTGATTTTCTAATGAATATGTGAACAATTGAACAGGTAGTGCAGAAACAACGTAAGTTCCAATCTACTGAGCTTCTGCATTAGTTAATACAGTAATTGAAATTTGGACATTGGGATGTGTCTGTTGTATTTGGATGCCTCTTAATTGAGTTGTCTTGTTTAAATGTTAAGTACATTTCATGTGTCTTTAACACCACATGTACAGTATTTGAGCTCTTTTATATGCTTTCATACTTTTATAACTTTTATAGCTTTTTTACTTTAATAGCCTTCACGTGCTTCGCCACTCCAGCTCACAGTCATGCATCAATTATGCTGTTAGAGGAATGGACTTTTGAGAGGAAGTGGAAAATATTTGCAGAACTATTCAAGTCATAAGTGGATTACAGCATGGACTAAAATAGTTATTTGTCACATTTTCTACATGTGTTATTGCCATATTAGGCTACACGTTACAATACCAGTGTGTTTTGTTTTGTGTGTTTTATTCTGTGCTCTGTCCTTAATTAAATTCATGACCTAACTCCTGTGCACCACATGATTTAAATACCATTGCATTGTCCTTTATTCTCTTTATGTACTTGCTTTAGAAATACATTTTATTAGGCAGATGTGTTTTAATTTAAAGAGCTGAAATTAAATGTTTTTGTAGCTTAGTAGGTGAACAGATCTAACAGAAACACCAGATTGTTTCTTCTTCAGTTTTAAACTATCTAACACAACTATCACAGATGAGGTTTGTGCTCAGTTCGTGACCACAGATTGGTTGAACGTTTCCATCCTGTTGACCCTCTATTGTTTGAGGCTTAGCAATGAATTGGCCTACATTGTTGAGAGATTATTTTTAGCTTAATCACTGACATGGTGAGCAGCAGTTGGTCTAATTGAAACTAGTGGAGCTGGCTAAACATGTCTTGTAAGTCACTCCTATACATACAATTGCTTTCAAAGGTGTGAATGGAGTATGCCCTTTTTACAGCCAAAGGAACCTGGGTTTGAATCTTGGCCTGTTTAATGTACCTTTCGTCCTGGGGTTTAAATTTTGTCTGGATGGCTTCCTCAGCCCTAGGAGGAATGCAAGTTACGTGAAGTAGAAACTCTAAATTGCCTATAAGCCTGATATTTGTGGCTAGTAGTGGGTGTCTGTATATGTGACTCAGCCTTTTCATTAACAGTTAAGTTGTCAAGGCTGTTTACCTGCCTTTATGCCTAGTGCATGCTTGGTTAAGGTTTGTCCTCTTGTGAAATTTCTGTATGAAGGGCTCACACAGATCATGCATAAATGTAGGTTAAACTAAATCATCATACCAATACAGTTTGAAGAGGCAGTATTATATTAAGTCAGACTTGGGGGGGTGACTCAAGTTCAACACACACACACACACGTTTTCTAACCCTACATTAAGCAAACAGGAACTGAATAACTAAGCTGGATCTGGTGTTAATTAGCTCAATGCACATTCAACATAGAAGGACATTAGCACACTTCCTGCCCATCAGTTGGGAGAATCACAATATGTTATAATCAGCGTGGATGGGTTTTATTTGTTTTGGGTGTCTGAGCCGATGCACCTCGAGGCCGTGCACTTTTTTAGCAGAGGTTCTGTAATGGATACGCTCACGTTGCTTGTTGGCCTAATCCCACACTGCAGGCATAGTTGACAGACAATGACGCCGGGACCCTCGATACTATATCCACACTCCACAGTGGGTCTGTGTTCACCGCGGCCCATCCGCAATGTTTTTGAACTGACATATTGGGGAGGAAAGCCCGTCTTGATATCTGAGTAGGCAGCCCATAATTATCGCACACCTGTGTTTGTTGATTGTGAGGAGTTTCCCAGCGGTCCAGGCCCGAGTGGGAGGATTGTGGTTCCAAGCACAGGGAGGTTTATCTTGGCCTTGAGACACACGTGAGGTGCAGCCCCGGCCCCACGGCAGCGGCATGCTGTGGCTGCTGATCAGACTGAGCGCGGTGCGCAGCCTGGGAATCAGACCCAGCGCAGCCTTTCATGACCGGGCTTCTGAGCCACGAGCTAGACAGTTTAGAATAACGTTCAACAGCTGCGATTCCTAAATAGCCAACACCGACACTTTGGCTTGAACTTATAACTGATATTTCATGGTGGAATTCAAGGGATACCACAAATCTCCATGTAAATCTAAGGAGAAATATCAGTAATTGTATGAAAACAAATGAATGCAAATATGTGTTGACTCTGAATCTCAGTAAAATGTGGCATTTAAGTCAATTCAGTTTAAGGGGTCTTCAAGAAAAACAGTGTAAAATTAGAACAATTGATTATATTGATCAAACTGCACCATGATGAGGTGGCTGTGTGCAAAGGCATATATTGATGTGACCTTTTGAATACACCCACAACATTCCCCAGATTACTGTATCAAAAGCAGAGAGAATACATTGACTTGTAGTTGTTGCTGATGCTGGTTTCTTAAAGGACATTGTCACAAGCCCTATAACACAGAGGATATGTCTCATTAGCATGTATGAACTGTTGGGTTGCCCCTGCGACGTGGCTTTGCAATTTCCCAATTGCTTGTCGTTGCATTTCTGAACAAAGGCCAGATTTGTGCAAATGCCACTTTATTTTGCTCAGAGTGAAGGCATAAATCCCATTACTTCCAGTCAAAAAAGCAGAGAGGTTAAACAAATAGGAGTCCAAAAGCAGCCTGAAATGGTCTATATTATTCAGCAGCAGACTATTTCTTATGTTCAGTTTGCAAAGAATAATGTTTATCCTCTGAATGATAAATTGCATTCTCAGTTGTGTCGAAAAAAGTTCAAACGGTTTAAGCCCCTGCATTTGTGTGTAGCTTTTGGATTAGTCTGCTCAAATTAGCCCTTTCAGTGATGTCCACAAATAAGTAGGTAGAACACATTAGAAAGAATGTGGGCTATTTTGTCCTTTTGTCGTATTGTTTGATAGTGTAAAGACTTTTACCACACTCTGACTTTGTATAACTGTCTTCCTGAATTATGTTGAATTACGTGTAATCAACTCAGAAGATGTTCATAAATCCTGCTCTTTTTATATAAATTGTCTCATTGAATTTGCTCAGCCTAAGCTTCCTCCACTCTCGTTTTAGCTGGTATTCCTTGGAGTCCAAGCCGGGGAAGAAGAGGAAAGAACGAGGCCGCATCCAAGTCAGCATCCAATTCATGAGGAACAACATGACAGCCAGCATGTTTGACCTCTCCATGAAGGAAAAGCCCCGCTCACCTTTTTCCAAACTGAAGGACAAAATGAAAGGTCGCAAACACGACAGTGGCTTTAGCGACACATCGTCTGCCATCCTGCCTCGGTCTGCCGTGTGTGACACAGAGCCTAACCGTCAGTCCTTCGCCCCAGAACCACAACCTCAGCCTGAAGCCAAGGTCAAGAGACCGCTGCTCGCTGGGGCCCATAAACTCTCCGCAGCCCATTCCATGTCAGATCTCATTGGGACTCACTTTCGGCCCAAACTGGACTCAATGAACTCCATAGAAGAGAGTGGTAAGGATCAGAGCTTATTTTTTCACATTAGTATTTGTAATATTTGGTTAAATCAATCAATTTTTTTGTATGATCTCAAAGGGCGGTGATAGGTAAAGCTTTATTGCTGCTTGGCACATGTCTGCAGGGATTTAGAGTTTTTGAAATTACACCAGTTATGTTTCGTTTGCAAGTGAGGTCAGTGAGGTGATCAGTGGGTCATTGACAGCTTTGCATGTATAAAAAGTTTTAAGGATCAACAGTGGTACACTGGTCTCAATTTTTATGTATGATAGAGCAGTGTTGTAACGATACTATTTTGCATATTGTATCTCTAAACACAATGTTTTAGTCATCTACCAGCTTTTAATTAAGTATCTTATTCTTCTTGTGTGACTCTTAACATGGAATGCTGTTGCAGTTTTTAGTGGCTATCAGTAGAGGTCGATAGAAGTCACAGAGCTTTAGTGATATTTATTTAAATATATTTACAGCATAAAGTACATAAATCTAAGCTAAATTAGATATTAGTTTTAGAAAATTCATATCAATCTGTGAACTTTAATTATTACTGTCACTAACTGGTAGATTAGCCTTCCATTTGCCCCCGTTGTCCTTGCATTACTGTAGCTATAATTAATGCAAACAGTAGTCACAGTTTTCATAACAACAGTACAGAGATCCAGAAGAAAGGCTAGTAACGGCATAATTATGCAAAACAAGTTGGTAATGGTAATAATAATACTTATAAATGCTTTTTTCCTTTTTGTTTTCTGTGCTAAATATACCAGCAGGTGCTTACTTACACTGTCCTGCATTGCATAGCAACCGAAAAAGATGAAGCATAGATAAGAACGGGTCACACTGAGATGTATTTAATAATCCCCCAAATCTTTATCCGGAGATGTCAGGGCAGGTATGATCAGCAATCATGTTATTTGCTGATCAGTAGGATTCATTTTGGTCATTTTGTGCTGAATAGGGTTGCAACAGTATGGTATGCGTCCTAGAAAATTTCACAGTATCATGGTATCATGGTACACAGTTTTACACAATAATATAATTATTATTAGTTATGGTGACCCTTAAAGAAATGAAAATGATTTTAGGAGGGTTTAAACAAACACTTTATCGTAATTAAAACTTGAAACTATGTGTGTCACAGGCAGTCGAGGAGGAAAGGAGATGTGCATGTGGTTGAGATTCTCTGTCTGGTTGCATTATGTTTATTTCAATACCATAGACAAGCACATGTATGCATCACTGTCAGTTTATGTACCTCAGTATATGGCTTTATGGTATACCTTGGTATGAACCCCAGTACTTAAGCAGTAAAAGTCATACTTTTGCCAGGGGAAGCTGAGAGAAACCAAGCAACTATCAAAAGTGTCTGATATTCATGACCAGCAACACAACTGTTGGTCTCTAAATGTACAAACAGTCATAAAAGGCAAATAAATAAGCATTTCTCAACCCATTGACCACACATTCCTGACTGTCCAATCTCCAGCACACAACTATTTGTGGCAGTGACATTATGATGATTTTGACTTTATCAAGCTTCTTTGGTTACTCAGGTTGGCAGGCAGGGGAGGGAAACTGTTCTGAGGGTAGGAGGGACGCAGTTGAGATTTATAAGATATAAATGATATAGTAAGCTGTCCTTACTGGTCCCAATAAATGTTTCTTTTGAGGTGTGTGATTAGTTGGAAGAGCCACAACACTACCTTTGAAAATAATATGAGTAAATAATTAGGCACAACACAAAGTGGTGATTTTTACAGGTGCTTTTATCTCTGTTAAACTGTTAAAGAAAAGGGTTTTGAACACAAAACAACCATTAATCGGTGTTGAATTAACTCATCAATGAAAAAATTAGGCCAGTAAAAAGCCCAAATAGATCATTCTGTTTCTGTCACAGACGATCACGCAAATAAAAACACATTTTATCTTTTTTAAGTGCCATTAGCTATTTGTGTGGTTACATATTATTTCATCATAACTATGTCACAAGTTGATGTATTGCGTTTCGTTTCTCTTCCAGGGAGCGCAGGCGGCCCTCACAGGCGTTCCCAAAGCGAGGTGCCCGGCTACCAGGACGGCGAGGCACACAGTGACCCTTTCACTGATATCAGTGACACCCTGCCACAGAAGTATGCCACGCTCCCACGCAACCGCAACCCCTTCGAGGGGGAGCACGGGCAGCTGTGGGACCGGGCAGAGCGGAAGGAGAAAAAGGAGAAGGTCAGCCTACTGGAACGCGTGACGGGAAAGAAGGAAGGCCGCAAGACCAGCAACGGGGGGCGTTCTGGCAGTTCTGGAGACCTGCGCTCCCCCAACCCATTTAGTGGAGACTCACAAGCAGACACTAACCCGTTCATCTCCAACTACAAAGCCAGGTAGTCCCTTTGTTGTTTGCTCTGTGTCAAAATTAGAACACACAGCTCAGACCTCTTTCAGTTCACCATGCTTTATTCATTTCACAAAACATTTTTCGCTGTCTTTCCTTTCATATGTGTGGTGCTTAAGTTTGTTTCTGGTTTTCTTATAAACCATTAATCATTCATGTGACCTAAAAATCACCAAGTCTGTTTTACAGAATACAAGGGGTATAAATCCCTAGTTTCATTACTATACAATATTGTATATTCTTTGGACAACGATATGATATTTGCCGATATCACAAAGTTTGCCACGATATGATTTCGATTCAGTGTGATTCAAGGGCCTGCCATTAATGTGAGACATTATTCCATGCCAATTTAACACAATCTGTTACGGACGAAGCTGCCAAACCTTTTTTTTGCTTTTGGTCATGAAAGATAAAAACAATACATAAATAATGTAAATTATTGTAACTGTTTAAGTGCAGTGAAGTTTACTTTAAATTGACTCCACTAACACACATACAACATGGGATAATTTAGCCTTCCAGGCTTTCTATCAGAAATCCCTGTCAGTCTGACATTGTGTCCACTCCAACTGACCTATGTTGTGGAGGGGGATTTGATTTTCTATCCTAACCAATCACCAGAGACCCTGCCTTAATCTAACATTATTTTAAGTCCAGACTGATACACAGTCACGCCAATGCGCTGGACTGCGGAGGTTGTAAGAATGTAGTGGAGCGAAGTTAAAAAAAAAAAAAAACAAGCTGCGATTTCAGGCGATATTGACAAGACATGCCTATTTAGAACAGCCTTGATAGCAATGTCTACTTTGTCTATAGCGCTTGCCGTTGTTGTTATTACCCCTCATTCGTTCTCGTGCACTGCTTGACAACAGCTTGACGGCAGCGTTAGTCCCGCGCTTATGGCTCTGATTGGCTAATGGTTGTCCCCCATGCTGTGCTCATTTGATCATTTTTATTTTAACCGAGAAAACTCTGTTTCACCTCAAATCCAATCCAAGGTTTGAACCCAGGGAATTGAATATCCTTTTTTTTCAGATTTTTTTTTTTAAACACAGCATTATTAAAACTCTTTTATCTCTCAATATTTATGACTCACCCTACCTAAATGTAAAGTCGATCTGCAGCAACAGCAAATCCATCCCTTAAATAAATTTCCAGTTGTTCTCAAATAGGTCTTTTCTTTGAGAACAAATATAGTCCAAACAATGCTACAAAAATGGCTCCAATTCCAGTTCCTCATTTAAACCTTCTTGGGCTTAGAGTGCCTGATTTAGAAATCCAGAATACTTCTCCTGAGGGGGCAACTTCTGTAAATGTCCCTCTCTTTGGTCAACTTAAATGCCCAATAAATGCTCATATATATATCTAAAGTTGTCTTTCTTTTCATTTCTACACCTTACATGAACTTATATTTATGAGGCAAACTGCTGCAGGGTTTTGGTTTGGTAGCATATTTTAACAATGTAAGCTTTAATAACGAAGTTCCTCATATGTTCCATTGGAATATCCACTTCTTCCATGCCTGAAATTTAGCCTTCACCCACGTGGCTAGAATCTGCATTCAGTACCTGTACAGCAGAGATTCTTAGCATCACTCTTTTATGTTTTTCATCACAATCTCAATCCCAAAATGTGGCCTTGCTACCCCATGGGACAACCACTCTAATACAGGATATTGGTTACAGCATTCCCATAAAGTTTTGAATACCTTGTTGATTGAAATCTACAGTTGGATAGACGCCCCCTTCTCTCTGTCATTCTCATGTCAAGTATTGTTGTTCAAACATTTACACTGAGCCAGTTACATCTATTTCCTGTGTTACATAAAGAGTTGGTGAGCGCTGTGGCTAAGTTCTGGTTTATCAGAGTGGAAGGTGTCATTAGTGGCTCTTTAGAGAGCCTGGGCTTGATAACAGAGCCCTCTGAGCTATAGTAATGAGATCCTCTGCAGAGATAGACCACCCAATTAACCACTTATCTCTGTAGGCACTAGTCCATCATCTTTACTGCTGCCTTTGTCACACAGCAGCTCAGTGGTCATTTATAATGTGGTACAGGAATACAAAAAGGTGGTTTCAAGTATATGATTTATTGATGACTCTTTTCACAGTTGCAGCAAAAACATGTTATAATGCATGTTTTGTTCCTTGATAAGCTATGTCAGTCAGCATAAATATCCAAATTTGTTTTATCGGCTCAGGGATAGACACCTCAGAGCCTCTGTATCAGTAGAGTGGTGATAATTATACCAATATATTCACTGTGTTGCCTTCATGTGAATACTGACTTTTTCTTTGATTGCTTTGTAGTGATAAAAAATCAACAGGGCATGAAGACATCACCTTTGGCCATAAGAGGAAGGACATCTTTGGCAAGAAAAAGGTAAGACTGACAGCGCAGCCCTCCCTGTAAAAGCAAATAATCTGTCAGGTGATGTTGTTGCATGTTGTCAGTTTACCTGACAATGATCGAGATGGAAAACGACAAGCAATGATCTCACCTCTCACAATTGTGTCACTACTACTATAGTGTCATGCAGATTTATAATTGAGAACTCTGAGTTTCATTGTACGTAGCAGCTTGTGACATTGATCTCTGAGGCCTCTGAAAATTCAGATGTGCCATTCAACTAATTAGCAGCTGCACACATCGGTCATCGTGTCTGCTCTGATTGTAATTTGAAGTGGTGTGAAATTTCAGTCTGTAAGGTCAGTCATAGTGGCGTGTTGCACTTACTCTGTAATTGGACGTTTTTCTTGAAAAAAGGTAAAGAAATGTAATTTTTCTTTTTAATCATTGTTACATTATTTGTAGTTGGCGTTTTACCCTTTAGTTTGTATTTAGTTTAAAGTCTTCTGCATTTCTAATTTGGACAAAAACCTCTGAAATTTGCCAACTATTACACAGCAAAATTGGTATTTACGAGGGAGCAGTGGGAGCAGTAGCTAAAGTGATGCCTAAATGAGAAAGAGAATGCTGATAATAGCTTTCCTCACCTTTCTTTGTGGGTGTTGAGGGCTGTCGGTATCCACACATGTGCCCCTGTGCATGCCGCAGTGCCTCGCAGAAATGGCAGCTCCCGTTTCCTCTGCTTCAAGGCCCTAATTAACCACACACAGGGGGGGAGGGAGGGCAGTGAGAGATTTCAAAGGACTGAGCTTTTAGATTCTCAAAGCTGAGCTCATTAGAAACTGTAATGACACAACTGGAGAATGCCAAGTGTGCGCCTTATCTTCTCCTCACTACTGATCGCAGAAAAATGGTCATCATTACTTTGCCAATTCATGGTCATTTCCAGGCCTTTGTCACCAGCCACTAAAGCTCCTGATTATTATGCTGTGTGTGTGTGCGCGCGCGAGAGAGAGCACGAGCATGTGCACGTACATAGGCTTGTATGTGAAACCAACATCCATATGGCCGTCGGTTCTCTTATTCCCTCTCCGATGGCTTAAGTGCAGTATCTTTCAGTCAGATGCCTTTTTTGTGTTGTGTGTGAGGAATAGGTTACCAAGCTCTGTTCTCGAAACCCTCCTTACATTGGACATTTAATCTCGGTGGCAAATATTTCATTTTGGGTTATGTCGCCCCAGAGTTGCCTCTATGCTGTTAGAAGCGATAAGATACCTGGTAAGCAGTCCCGCTCCAGGTCTTTCTGCATTGTCTTTACCCAGCAGTAGAGGCTTGAATGGTGTATGGGAGTGGAAGCTGATAAGTGTGGTATTTTAAACAGGGTGAAGGCTTTGCTGCTCTATCCGTTTGGGGGAGGTTGCCCAGCACTGAAGCGATAAAGTGGTCCCTCATTAAAAACGATTACAGCTCCTCTCGTACCCGCGCAATATGATCTGCACATACCGTACCACACTGCTCTGTCCAAATAGGTTGTCCTCAAAGAGCAAAGCTGGGCTTGGGTTGCATCCTTATTTTGGTATTTATTAGCCTGACCTTTAATTGCAGAAATATGCAGCCTGGCATTTCCCCCTCAAAACAAAGATTCCATTTTTTGGGGAATCTTTGTTGTTTAAGTTCTAGCAAGCTTGGTAGAGCTTTTGCCTAAACCCTCTCTTGATAGAGAGGTCATGCTTTTAGCTACTTGAAACTAGGGCTTCATGACATATCTCTTTTTTTAGACTGTCATTGCAATGTCAAATTGGTCAAAAGCTCCCAGCATTTTTATTTTTTGGGCATTTCTACTTTTATTATTGTAGTGACAAAGCAAGGAAAGGTGGGGGTGAAAGAGGGGACGATATGTAGCACAGGGTCGCACTGGACCTAAACCCGAGAAGATCACCTAGTAAGTCGGGCGCTCACTCTACCAGGTGATCCCTGGGTGCCCCATCACTCATTTCATCTATTGTTATGTAGTCTTGTTTTTATCTTTTTTTTTTTTTTTTTGGTTTTGTTTTACATGTTCGAAATAAATATCAATCAAATCAGAGATCTGTTTAATCAATACACTGCAAAATTAAAAATGTAGGGAGTTATACAGTCTGTGGATCTTTCATTTTAAAAGTGCTGTATGTAACTCTGGCATCAACTCTGGCCTATTGTTGAGCCTCATTCCCAGGTCATCAAATACCGACGCTTTGGGTTGGTGGTTCGGTTCGACTACCATCCCAAAGCGTGAGTATTTGACGACCTGGGAATAAGACTCATAAACCAACGTGATTTCAGAGTTACATACAGCACCTTTACTTGATCAATAAATACACATTCTTAAATTATGTGATATTGTACTCAGTGATTTTTTTGAGTTAATGAAAGGAGAGTATCAATAGAAAACTGCTCTTTAAAAAGTAACTATCATTCTTTTTTTTTATTGTTGCATTTTGTGTTGAGTTCCTCGTTCAGTTTTATCAATAAAAAAGTGTGGGAAACAATTTCCTTTAATCCTTTTTTTGAATTCAACAAGAAACGTGTTGTATTTTAGCAGCATACCAAAAGCAGCAGAAAGGAAGAACTGTGTACACTTTAATATGTATTTATTGCAAGTAATATTATCGTGATATACAACAACGTTATTGCATATCGTCTCATATCGTTTTCTCTATCGTGCTGTCCTCCTTGAAACTAAAGAAAAAGCAGCAACAACTTTCTTAAGATGTTGGCTGCTTGCTGTAGTGTCAAAGTTAAGTCCCATCAGAGCAGTTAAAGTGCTCTTGATTCTCATTATAAACACTGTTACACGGTATTAGACTATAACATCTGTCATAGAATTCATTGACATGTCAGTGCTAAATCCCTTGAGAACAGTTTCATCTTAACAACTCTCAATTAGCCTTTATTAGCAACAGAGAACAAGAGATAAACACATGACAGTTTATGTCATGTAAGGCCAACACATCTAATTAGTCTGTTTTATCAGATGCATTGTGAGTGAACCTAAAGGGTATTGCCTGTGTTATCAGATGCTGACATTTCATGGTAGATCATTCATTTCAGTCTGCTTTCACAAAGAATATATACGCAAAATATAGTGATTATGGAGCATGTAACCTTAAAATCTGCTGGGGTTAAATTGAGCATTTACTTGTTTTCCATTTTCAGGAGGCGACACAGGAAAGCGTGGCCGCCTACAGCAACTTGTCCTTTGAGGAAGTTGTGCAGGAACTCATTAAGCAGAAAGAAGTGGTGAAAAAGAAAGACGCCCACATCAGGGAGCTGGAAGACTACATCGATAACCTGCTCGTGCGCGTCATGGAGGAGACACCAAGCATTCTACGGACGCCCTATGAGCCAAAAAAGAAGGCGGGTAAAATCTCTAAAAAGTAGAAAGAAAAGATGTTGGATGAAAAGTTACTAATGAAGGTTTATCTGCAGCTCATGCATCAGTATCATGTGGTAAAATAAGTGGGAACAAACGGGATTGATCAAAGCCAAATTAATGATTGATTTATGTCTTTGCTTTAGAACATTTTTATTCAACAGATGTAGTTTTTATATAGTTTTTTCCAATGTTTTGGTTATTTTAGTACACACAGGTGTTTTGCCCTCTTTGTTCGGCATTCCTATTACTATTTAAAATTCTGAATACTCGCTGCGGTGCATTTTTAGGTATGTAAACAGGATAAGAGAAATTCCTAGATCGATTCAAATCAAATCCATATTTTTGACAAACATTAGGTTTCACTACATTATATCGTATGCACTTGTGAACCCACAGAGGTCTGTTGCACATACAGCTACCATCATCTGCCTAGAAGCTCTTAAGGTGCAAATGCAGCCAAATTTATGTTTACCAGATGGTGTAGTCGCAGTTGTGTGCAGTTTGCTGAAAGACGGTCAAGAGGTCGATAAGATGAGGCTGTAGTTACTGTGTTTACACTTGAGCGCAAGTCTCAAACTTACCACCTAAACCAGCCGTTTAGTAGAGGCAGCCTCAGCTTTGTTCCGAGCCTCTTCTGTGCTACAGATGTGGATGAACACTGCTGCCCTGCCCAAGAGCCTGAGTGGTTCATGGTATTCTTAGAAAGACAAAGAGAGTTACAGTAAGAAGTTGCTGGACAGTATCTGGATTCTCTCTAGCTCATGCATTTTTTTTTTTCTCAAAAATCGAACAAACGTACATTGCTGTTGTCAGTTACTCATTTCTCATTATTTTATTTGTGATGACTATCATTTAAGCTTCTTGGACCAAGGGTCTCACAGTCACTTGCTGAAGGTGATCATTTAACTGACTTTTAAGTGCAATAATCATGACTTGCTTTATATTTGGCTGGTAATGTTCTTGTTTACATTTTAATCACACTGTTAAGTCAAACTCATCTCTTAATATTGATTTGATTCACTGGAAAAGCCTGGAGTTTTGTGTTATAGCCTCCGTGGATTGACCAGCCTTCATCTCCTTTAGTTACAGTTTTTGCTGAAGATTATATCGACGGTACCTAGCTGCACATATGGATATATGCTGACCAATCTTTATTTATACAAGTTTCTTAGCTCATTTACATATGAACATTATTTTAATGTATTTGTATGGTACTTTATGGTAAAAACGCTACTGTATACCCCCTTACTCACCACCCTTTCTACTGTAATAACACTGTACAGTTGGTACCAATCACGAAAAAAACGTAAAGTATTTGCGTCTTAAGGTCTTATGGATACAGTTTTTTTATGTAATTCCCATCAGCATTAATATCTGTTTACCTAGTCACAAAGTATGTACTGTGCCTCAGTATATTTCAGCTTTCTATGTAATCAAAACAACCAAACTTCTAACATTCACAAACCGTAAGAAAAAAGTGTTTTACCAGTTCACTGAGTACTAATGATGATCAGTTTGTTATTGTTCGAGGTAAACACCCAATGAGTGTCATTCAGGTTAGAAATAACTGTTTGACAGCACATGTCAGAAGCTCACTGTCCTCATTTCACAGTTTTACATCTCACATGTCGCCTCAATCTGTGATGCTAATGTGAGAACAACATATGTTGTTTCCATATTCAACTCTTTCATTCTGTGTCTGCTGAACAAATGCAGAGTGAGCGACAGGGCAGCTGTTGGATCGCGCTGCTGGTACTAAAATGAACTAAATGACTACTTAAAGCTTAATCTCAACGTTTTCATCACCTGTATTTGTGCTTGAGCTCAATGTTCAAAGGTAGAATAATCACTTACTGATGTTTAGGTTTACATTTTTGAATGTTTATTTCTGTTTCATGGAAAGCAGCTTCACATACAGTGTTAAACACACTTTGTAATATCATAATAACTTCCTTTACTCAGAGTTTCACACCATTTTTAATGATCTATCAAGCCTCTTTGTTAGATAATGATCCACTTTGTCCTTTTGCTGGTATTATTTCTGGTATGTATATCTATTTTGTAATTACTTTCAAGTCTTATACAATATTTGACCTTTACACTGTATGATACTAAATCACGGCACCCTATCTATAGAATGTCAACAGTCAAAAACACTTGTTAATTTAAGTTCTTCATGAATGTTTCACCACTCAGAAACATGTATGTCATGTACTAATTGTTTCTGCTGCTGCACAAGTAGTGACTTCACCTGAACGTTTGTGATCTCTTTTTGGACTTGAAACCAAATCTCTTGTCATTGAATGTATTCTGGTTGGTTGAAATACACAATCCTGAAATGTATAATGATATCGAGTACACTAACAAGGCCATTGAACCTTGCTTGCCTTTAAAGTATTTGGTGTATCCAAAGAGATCATTTCATATGGGTGATTTTTCTCCCCTTCCTGCTCTCTATTAGTCTGATGAAACTCAGACATCTTCATTATGGATATGAAGTGATTGTCGGTACGGTTTTGTGCGATGATGTGACACAGATGTAAATTCCTTTGTATTGGAGAACAGTTATTTGATCTGCATATATTTTGTAAAGCCAACAATGTTTGAATCAGTTCAGAAAATGATGAGTATTATGTGATACTAATTAAGAAGATATGTGGATAAGAATCTGTTTTCCATCACGGAAAAGCTTCTCACTGATTGCCTTCCTACATGTGCTGAAGTGTAAACTCTCCGTCTCCTCATGTTACAGGCTTTACCAACTGCTTTAACTAGTCTGTATTGGTAGTTAGACAGTTGTTCAAGGACCTTACCGAGCTCTTAATCTTCCATTGTACATACTGTACAGTCACTTTGTTGTATCACGTCACCTCCTTTGACTTTTTTGCACATTTTGTTGTGCTTTAAATGTTTGAAAATGTGCTTCCTGGGGATTTATTCCATCTAAAGTTCAGTCATAGTGCGAGTTAAGCTAAATGAAATTTGAAAAGTGGGAATAAAAGTTAAGAAAAGTATTCACCACCCATCTTTCATTTGAACCAAACTGACATTTGTAAATTGTGATTTAGCTGTAATATCAGGCTATTGAAAAGTTTTTCTTTCTCAGGCTTTTTTATGGCTGTAGATATTTTCTCTTGCTGGCAAAGCAAATGCATGGATATCTGGCGGGGATATTTTATTGTATGTCACATTGTGCATCATAAAGCAAAACTCATACAGAGTATTGAACAGGTGATTTACACTTAGGTCTACAGTGTGCCCTAAAGCACTGCTGCGTCGCCGAAATGATGAAATAACAAATGATAAGGTCTTAATAAATAAATGTTGAACACATTTGGACCCTGAGGTTATTTAGTTCAAATGAAAAATGAAGGGTGCGTAGTTCAAATTAATTAATTTTGCCTGTCATTTTTCTTTCAGCTTGATTGCTACATTTGCTTTATGCTTTAATATAATTTGGTGCTTTGGTAGATGTCAGGCTAAAACAGAAATCTAAATGAAAAGCATTTTCAAATCATTTTCTAGCACAACAGTGTATGGGGGTACATTGCAAAAAAAAACCCTGCATCATTATTATAGTTCTTCCTTGCCTCTTTGCATAATATTTGTCATCCAATTAATGCCAGTGTTTGAATATGCAAAGCACTGAAAAATGCTCTGGGGCAAAATTTCCTATAAATTTGGCCACAGCCTGTGTCGTAATTCAGAATTATATAGATTGTTTTGCACATGCATTAGAAGTATGTTTAAAGTGTTGTAGGTGAAAGTCCGCCCCATTCCAAACAAAACAAAAAACAAAAACAGTGCAAACATATGGGGATTTTTTCCATGTTGACGAAGCATGCATTGAACCTTTTGATGAAGATGACATAAAGCTCAAGTCGGATCTCACAATCCTCCTCTGGCAGTCTTTTAAGTCTTCTACTGATAATATGATGCTGCTTGCCATAGGCCACATACAGCTGCCAGACACTAAGACTTAAGCTCCCGCTAAATCCCCTGACGGTGCTTGTAATGTGGCACACAGTTTTGAAGGAAATGATGACTGTGTTTATAAAAGATCTTGCCAGTTAGCAAAGCTTCATTGAGTTTACAGAATTGTATGGCGTGTGGGGCACAGAGGTGCCAACACAATTAAATATAATTTGAGTTGAGTTAAGTGCCCCAACATGGTGGAGACCTAAAATGACATTTTGATACTAACATGTTGGTTTACTTCTGAAGGTAGTCCATGTGTACTGGGTCTCACAGTTCAGTTACATGCCTTGTAATGTAATAAGTAAATGGGAGTGTTTGGATTCTTGTCAGTTCTGCATGTCACTCACATGTTTTGATAATGTAACACTTGATATTATTGCCAAACTATGTCATTTTCCTGATCTAGAATGCATTGATTCCACTAGATTGGGTTGATTTTCATCACCTGTCATCACACTACCTTATTGTAATGTACTCAGAATTGTACAGTGTGTAAGTTGGTTACCAAATGTCCTTTCATCAGAAAAACTAGGTGAGCTTTTTTGTGTTTATTTTCACATAATAGCCAATATGCAAGACTTTCATACCTGGATGTGTGGGGACAAGAATGTATGGCTTTTTTTTAAATTATTGTAGTTCTGGAAACACATTGGGGGCTAGAAGATGTACACTGTATATTATGATAACAGTATAATGCTGTTAATGATGACTGTATATAAAGTGCCAACACAAGCACTAATTCATTCAAATTTGGTGATGCATTTCTTAAATATTCACCCATTCTCCGTACAGTTTCAAACATTAACTTTTGGACATTATCATCACCATGATCATGATCAAATTCCAATGTGCTACTGGATGTAGTTTAAATGACACAAGCAAGATTGTATTGTCCTTTTCAATAAACTCACTGTAAATGAAAACTGCTGTATTGTTTTTCTTTTCTTTTTTTTGGCCAAAAGATCAAAAGCCTGTAATGACATTTTAGCCACAATTAAATTAGAATTGTGTAATATGCATCCTTATGTTTTAGTTAATCAAACTCTGCATTGTAAATCTGATGCAAATCTTCCATAAAGTGGATTGCTATTCAGCTCTTCCTTTTGTTTAACACCTGTCCTATCATTCTTGTGGATAAATTAAAAGCCACTCTCAATTAACTCTGATCTCACTGGCAGTTAAACCACGATTAGTGTTTTTAATTGTGCTGATTTGTGTCAAAGCTTTTGTTTTCTCTCTTGCTCAAAGCACTTCTTCCTTTTGTTCTGGAGAAATTCCCATGCCTTCCTGGCAAAAGAGAGAAGTGGCATCGTTTGACAACCAAGTAGCAAGATTGCTTGTTAAAACTCCACTCTAATTTGCCTATGTGTACAACAAGACTGTGTGAAGTCTTTTGGGACAAGAAACACTTAGGATGTTTACTGGCTGATGCTTTTGTGGGTCGGTTTGCTTCCCCGCCACGAAGCAGGTTAAAACATGACCCCTCCCCTGTCACCTCAATCTTGTAGTCCCTGAAGAGGTGCACCTCAACGCTGCAGCAGCTGCCACTGCACACCACAGCACTGCGTTTGAGCTGATAGTGGAAGATGCATAGCAGTGGTAACCACGGACACTAGAAAAATATAAAATTACTTGCAAGATAATTCCTTTAATGAAATAATCTTTGAATGCCACAGGTGACAGAACCAGCTGTGATGACTGAATATAAGGTTGCTTTATATGAGGCAAAATGTAAGTGTCAGTTACAGTTAGATGCAGCTATGCTCTTAAGTTAATGTCAAGATAATTCTGCCTGGTGACAGAACTGGCAGCATGCATCATTATTAATTTTTTATCTTCCTGTGTTAACTTATAGTCTGCCTTTGGAGGCCCCGAACACAAATACGTGTGTAATAGGGCTTTATGTAGGTGTCACCTGTTGTATTCATAAGCTAATTGGCATCCTCATTGTCATCCTTACACATTCATCAACAGATCGAATTTCACAGATCCCAGCTTTTGTATGGCAGTGGCACGTGTCATCTGAGTGTCTCGTAGATTAAAGCCCATTAGTTCATTGTGCATTATATCATATTGCTGTAATTTGAGGAAATATCTAACAAACGTGTTATGTAAGATTCTGTGGGCGCAGGAGAGCCCAAGCGTGCCAGAAAGGGCCACCCACAGGTCACCTGCACTCCCCTTTAAATATGGATGGGCGTCATAGCAGGGATCAGTGTCACCCCGCACGCGTCTGTGAATGGAAGTGCCTCAGGCAATCATGGAGAAACTTATATGAGGAGAAATTCAGCAGATGGATGAGGTGTTTTTAGGGGAAAAACCAGACCTATTTGGGCAGCTGGCCTGAACTTGTTGGATGATCGGGGACCAGATGTCAAGGTTAACCCCTCAAACTCCCCAGAGTATCAGACCCCACCCACTCCTCCAGTGCAGAACTCTTTGTTGGATAGTTAACTAATCTGAATAGGTGCTTGAGATAAATCAGGTGTCAAACATGCGGCAGATCCCAGCGTTGAGCATTGTATTGATGGTATTGTCTCCCTATGATAGCTGCCACGCGTCTGGTATCAGGTGAACAAAGCCAGATGACAACCAGAAGAAACAGGGAATCTGTCGACATCGAACAGCAAACAAGGGGGAAGGATACAGACTCAAATTCATAGCTGCAAAAGAAATATCAATACACACATACAGTTTATGCTGTGCTTAAAAATATTTTTTTTATTATCCATACCCATTTGAAAGTATAAATGTAGTAATCCACTGTTGTTGTAACTAATATTACAAAAAACTTAATTTGCTTTAACACACTGTCTGAGCTCAGATAATACAAGGTCAGCTGACAAGCCAGTGAATGAGGTGCTTAAGAAAATGTTTTTGTTTTTATTTATTAAAAAAAAAATGTAAGTAAAGTCTTAACAAAAGTCCTTCTAAAATGTGTGGTGGAAGCATGGTCTTTTCATTTTTATTTTCCCATATCTGGATTTTAGATTTAAAAATGTATTCCCACATATGAATTTTAGATTTTAATAAATGAAATAACACATCTGTGACAATTTTAGGTAAAGTATAAAGTGCCCACAACTCAGGTATAAGCTCAGACCTCAAGTCAGTTTGTGTTCATCCTACATAACATTTAACAATTAACCCTCCTTCGGGTATTTTAGTTAGTATTTGTTTGGGTTGTAGTGGTTACAAACAATATATATATTTTTTGGGCATTTTGCCTCTAATTGACAGGACAGTCAAGCCTGAAAGGGGGAGTGAGAGAGAGGGGACGACACGCAGCAAAGGGCCACAGGCTGGACCCGAACCCGGGCCGCCACGGCAACAGCCCTGCACATGGAGCACCCACTCCATCGACCAGGCCACCGACGCCCCACAAACAATATTTTTTTATGGTGTCAGTTAACATTATTTATTCTGTTATGGCTATTTGTATCCTATTTGCCGAATTAGCTAACATTCTACTGTTGCTAACGTTAGCTACCTAACGTTATTGCACATAAAAAGTAAAACGCTAGATGTCTAAAAGCAATTAACGTTTAGTTATCAATACCATACTATACTATATCAATACTGCAAAATGACAGACGCAAATTTTACATCAAAACCGTATAACGTTAACAACTGGCGGAAATATTAAGGTAAGGTAATGTTGCCAACATGCTAACATTAATGCTAGCTGTCATCTATCTGTTAGCTAACTAGCTGATAGCCAGCTATATTGTTTTTATAGGCTATGCATTTTGCTGGCTCGCCAGCCAGCCATAGTTAGCTAAGTTAATTCTGTTGTAAGTGCTATGGCTGTCACGATACACTGCGGCTGTCGCAAGCGTTACGTCACCTGACAAAGACCGATTGGCATTTTTCATTATATTACCCTACAAAGCTAGCTAACATGACTTTAATTACAATGAAATGTGAATTGCCCATGTTATTTCTGTGCTTAACTGGATAGAGGCTAGAGGATTACAAGCAGTAACTTTAACAGTGGTTAATGGACACACTTTTTATTTCTTTTATTTAGGCTAGCAAAGCTAAGTTAGTATAGTTGCTAGTACCTGTTGCCAGCTTGCTAGCTATACTGTATTATGCTAATTTGCTAGCAAGTGTAATGAAGTGAGGTAACAATTGGCAAAATGGCATGACTAAAAAAAAAAAAATACTTCAACATTTTTATGACACAACACATGACACACTCATTACTTTTAGTTTAGTAAACATTAAAGAATAGTAGGTTTTTATCCAGTAATTTCACTTTGACTCATGTCAGGTTTGTATTGGACCCTCTGTAAGACTTGAATGTATCGTGCTCTTTCTAGGCCTGGCTGTTTTGGAGAACAAGTCGAAGTCGTAGGACCACAGTGTTTTCTCAGCAAGCTGGTGAGCGACTGGTCTCATTATCACTGTCTGGACAGCACGTGCCTGGGACTTATCACCTAAAAGCTAGGAAACATGAGCTGTCAACAGACCATAGGTTTGCATTTAGTCATTCTTAGCCTGTAACTGGCACCACAAAGAGCTTGTAGAGAGATCACTAGTGTGACAGCAGCGAAAATTCTAACTGATAATCTCATTTTGGTATTATTAACAATGAAGAATTACATATAATAACGCTAAAGCAAGAGATTGCCTGACACTGTGTTAATAATGGTTCTGGATTAAACTGGATACACACCCTAAATATTTCTGTCTGTGAGGAAGTAGGTTGAATTTCCTCTTATTTAAAAAAAAAAAAAAGTAAATGTGTGTATTGTTACTTTTGTGGTTGTTATGCAAAGTTCACTTTTTAACTATGGTTTGTGATCACTGTAGCAGGATAACCCAGCAGTAGGCATGCTGCTCACTGCTTACGTCAAGCACGGTTGTAGTTTGCAGTGGATAGATCACATTAGAACTTCACTGCAATAGCTCAGTAAAGCCATGTTAAAACTAGAGTAATACAATCAATCAATCAGTCATCTCCTGACTTCACAGCACAGGAGAGCTCTGCTGGAATGCTGCTAAGCTGCAGATGTACCAGCCAAATTACTCCAGAGGGGAATTACCAGGCCATAAATCCAGACGTCAGGAGGATGGCTGTAGCCTATTTCACGGTAAAAAAAAATCCATGCAACTTGTTTCCATTACCTTCATAAAGAATGTCTCACTGTGCAGGGCTAAAACTTATCACTGAGGACAGATCTAAACATGTTTGCATCCAAACACCGCCTCAAATCATGGGGACCTGAAACAAAACATCATGAGAATCTGCTGTAGTCATTCACCATGTCCTGACAGGTCCTTTGAAATGAATGATCTGTTACATGACAAACTGTGAGAGAAACTAATAATTATCTCCTGCTCATTCATAATCTTCTGTAAATCTGAGGCATGCTGCAGCCTGCAGGTTTTACCTTTCACTAGATATAAGCTTAGTTATCATTAAGAGATGTAAAAGGCTCATTCAAACAAAACATTTTCATCCTCAAGTTACCTGCATTTAAAGATTCATAATCATTACATGTTTGTTATCTGATCTAATGGTTTTAGTAAAACACAGGATCCTTTCACCTATTTTATTTGTGCAATTCTCATGTAAGTAGAAGGCAAACAACAGACACACACTCTAGTCAACATGACACAGTAACCACTGGCATCAGATCGTTGGCAGGTATTGGGCTTCATTATTGCTAATTAAGATGTATAAATATGCTGTCTGGCACTTGACTTGTCATTTGTACTGGGCCATTTTTTTCCCATCAAACTCAAAAAGTGCCAAGGTAGACAAGGTGAGGGCACGAATGCTGGTAGTGATGCTGCAGTGTGTACTCTGTGGGCACATTTCAGCTCAGCTGGCATACATCTGACTGATGCCTTCGGGTGCCAGCAGCTAAACAAGCCCAGGTTTGAGGGGAGCGTGTTGTACAT